TTACACCGTACACACACTTCTAATGCTGCACCTGTTACACTGTATCTATGAATGGCTTAAATACATCTGTCTCTCCTATGAGAACACTTACTTCTAAGCCAGGTGAACTGCAGGAAAACCCTCTGCGGTAGAACCAATGTATATATATATACTGATAGACATATAACAAATATATATATATGTATATAGAACCTATATATATATAAAATGACTTCTATCTATTAAGACAGATGGACATTTATTTTGAGACCCACAAGATTATGGAGGCTTGGTAAGTCCAGCAAGACAGGCTGGTAGGCTAGAGACCCAGGCTGCAGGTCAAATCCAAACCCAAAGGCATTTTTCTAGCAGATTTCCCTCCTCTTCCAGGTAGATGAGTTGTTTTTTTTTTTTTTCTATTAAGTCTACAGATTTGTTAATCTCATCCAGAAAACACCTTCACAAACACATCAAGAATAGTGTTTGACCAAGTATCTGGGTACTGTGGCCCAGCCAAATCGACACACAAAATTAATCATCACAACCTCTGAGCCCTGCAGAGATCAGGCGGTAAAACCAGAAAGGCCGAGTCAGGAAGGCAGTGACATGGAGCAGGCACTCCCCAGCACCTTGCATCCTGCTGAGCCACCCGATGACAGAGTGACTGAGGTGCTGTCCCCGCATGGGATGCAGACAGATGGTGATGGGGCCCAGGACTGCAAAGCACATCCACTGTCCTGGTCACTCAACTATCTGTAACTGGGAGTCCACAGGCCCACAGCTGGAGCCTGGGGCAAGCCTGCCCAGGGGGAGCGCGACAAGCTTGGAGGCACAGTGTTGAATACTCAACCAAACCAAGGCTCCGGGGACCCCACCTCCGGGTCCATCAGCATCCACAGTGTATGTGGAAAGTGCCTTTGCTCACGGGGAACTCACTCTTTCTACGTGCTAGTGTATCATCCCCCAGGCTAAGACCTATGCGCCCAGATGCCTGGGATGATGAAAAAGTTCTGGAAATGGATGGTGGTACTGGCTGCACAACACTGTGAATAAACTTCATGCCACTGACTAGACGCTTACAAATGGCTAAAATGGTAAATTGTACATGCTGCGCATATTGTGCCACAATAAAAAAGATAATGCTCCTTGAGGACAGGCCCACGCCTTTCCTTAACCCCCACAATACACAATACATAATCCATTCCTCACCATTCCTTCTCTTAGAGTTGACCAGATTGTCAAAGACGAAAGGCTTGGGGCCTACCGGCGGTAACTGACTTCACAGAGCAACGTGAATGGCCCGGAGCGTCACAGGCCGGTGTCTCCACATACGGATTCACGGTCAAGTGATTGGTGCGTGGCAGAACACCGAGATAGACATTTTGGATGGAAGGACTTTTAAGGTAAGTGGACCTGCAGGACTGCTCCACGGAGGCCAAGTGGGAGCCCAGGTGCAGCAGTCTGAGCCAGCACCTCCTTAAGAGCTTGCCGGAGGAAGGTTTGGAAGAGAGCCACCAACACAAGGGTCCCACCTGCTCTCTGCAGCTCCCAGAGCTCAGCGGCCTCATCCGCTGCTTCTTCCTCCTGAAAACTTTTTACCCCCACCTCCTGCACTCTCAGAAATGAACAATATGAACCCCTTAACTTCCAGAATGAATCCATATAATCTCTCCTTCTACCTCCCTCCTATCACATCCTTCCCTACAGTCCTTTCCTGGGAAAACACTGAAAAATACCGGAGTTCTTCTAAACAACCATCACCGTTAGTAGTAGTAGTAGTAGTATTTAAAGATTTTATTTATTTGAGAGAGAGCGAGCACACAAGTGGGAGCGGCAGAGGGAGAGAGAATCTTAAGCAGACTCCCTGCTGAAGGTGGAGCCCGACATGGGGCTTGATCCCACGACCCTGAGATCACGACCTGAGCCGAAACCAAGAGCTGGATGCTCAACCCACTGCACCACCCAGGTGCCCCGTATTATTATTCTTGTCTAGCCATTGGCTCCCCCTCCTCACCCAGATGCCCTTGTGGGGAGAAAGGCCTCACATCTGAGGCACAGGATGAGCTGGCTGTGCTGAGCTCCTGATTCTTTCCCACCAACTTTTCCTGAGCCACAGAGAAATCACTGACCAATGTGGAACTTTCTTCCCCTCACTATCCCTTTACCCAGAATGTTTCAAGCGGAGCTAACCCTCAGCCTGACCGTGCTTCAGAAGGATGCAGTCCAGCCAACGAAAGTGGAGTCTTGGTGCAATGAAACAGCCAAGCCGAAGCAAGACCTTGGTTTCTGCTAGAAACCCACCTATACATCCACTGTTCCTTCAAGACATCAGCTCAGTCTGTGCCTCAGTACCTGGAAGAGAGCTGTCTGGCCAGCTCTGTGGGCCCAAAGTGGTAGGCCCTGGGTCGTTTATGTCAGTGCGTAATGAACCACCACAGAAGCTCAGTGGCATGTGGAAAAGGTCCCAAGGCTCGTGGGTTTTCAGACCTCAGGGGTGGAGCCTGGACACTCTCTCATGGGCAGAGCGGAGAAGCCCAAGGAGAATCCTGCACGTCTGCTCTGGTTTCTCTATGCATCACTCCAGCTTGCATCCTGCTGGCCGCAGCAAAACATGCAGCCAACCTCAGAAAGCCATGGGTGGGCAGACTGCTACCGAGGGAAAGCAGCAGAATGGCAAAAGGCCTTCCATGCCGGAAGCTGGCCTCAGTCTCCCACAGGCTCAGCAACTGGGCTTCTCTGTTGACTAGTCATGGAGGAGAAGAATGTCTTTGACAAACTAAAATGAAGACACTGTTCTTGTGTCTACAACCCCACATGGCATTTGCAAAGAGGGGAACCACAGGACCTTGCAGCAGCAGGGACCTCGCTGGTTAGTGACCCTACCCCCTCCCTCTGTGGGGAGGATGCTCGGATCCAGAGCCATTCTGGAAACTGGCTGAGTTCATTCTGGAACCGGCAAGAGCTGGGACCCCTGCCAGCCCCTCAGGACGAGGAGGGCAGAGGCAGCCCAGGATCATGGGACAGAAGCAGCAAGAAGTGCCGACACTGCGCGGCCCAGCACGAACCTCAGCAGGCACCCCAAGTGGGCACCGGGGAGGACGAGCACCCACCCTCCGGCGCTCGCGCCAGAGGCTGTCGGGAGACACCGGGGATGGAGGCGAGCGAGCTCTTCCGGGGAAGGGGCTGCTCCACCCAGCTTTGCTCGCCCCACCTACCTGCCCAAGCTGCTGACTTTCAAAACTCATCAGACCAGGCTCAGGACGCGGAGAACCAAGGACAGGGGAACTAAACAGAAATGTGAAACCAAAGAGAACCATGCCCAGGCCACATGGTGGCTCCCCTCTGTGCTCCGGCTTCTCACAGGCAAGGTGTCCTTCCCCGCTTGCTGCCCACCACAGGCCCCTCCCCCTGGACCAGGGAACAAAGAGAGGCACTGGGGATGGTTCTCGCTCTACCCATCATGGGACAGCCTGTGGTCGAAGGATAACCCCTTGTTGCCCCGGCCACGGTGCAGAGCCCGACTGCTGCTCACTTCTGGCTTCTAAGTGCAGCCCCTCACCGGGCAGCAAAGTCTCCTAGAATCACAGCGTTCTAGAAACAAAAGGAAACTTCAAGGTACCCATCCAGCCTTCTTATAGATGGGGATTTTATAGAAGTCGGGCAAAGCCTGTCCCGGGGAAGATCTGTGGCCTTGCCAGGTAGTTAGTGGGCATGATTTCCGGCCACCGAGTGCTCCCAGTAAAAAGGCAGTGGTGTAGACGCACGCACGCAGAACCCACGCGGGAGCATCTGTTCACAAGCCACACGGGCAGATGTCTGAGGACGCAGGGCTGTGTTTCCACGTCCCAGTGCCTGGCACAATGCTGCAGGGGACAGGTCCTCGGGAAGTACTTACTCAAAGGAGGACCAATGTTCCTTAGGAGGGTGAACCTCCCTCCCCTGTCCCCAGTGAGCGTCACTGCAAAGGACACTACTGAGGTGGCAGGAGCTGCTGGAGGCCGTGCAGGGACAGAGGGGCCCAGGCTGCAGATCCAGAGTAGATCCCGCTCTGGGACAGGTCCACTGTGGCAACTGCCTGAAGCCTATGCCCAAGCGGATTCAAATCTGGGCTCCAGCTGGGGACCAGCCCCAGCCCAAGCTGAAGGTCCCCCAGGCCTGCAGGAAGAAAATGGGATGCTCCTTCTTAGCAGCCACGTTTGCCTGAAGCACGTGCACTTTCCTTACTGTGGTGAGGAGATGCCCAACTGAGTCTTCCCACGACTCCTCCTCTGGCTCCGGGGGGAAGGGAAGGCAGAACCCCTGTGCCTCGGGTCTGGGCCAGCAGCCGGGCGAGGGCGGTGAGGTGGGGTCAGCTGGGACCGCAGGGCTGGCAGGCCTGACAGATGGGAGAGGGTGTCGCAGGCGGCATGGCAGGAGAAAGCAGCCCGGGGCCAGGAGCTGTCACTTAGGTGCCACATTCTGGCGTTGGCCAGCCCCCAGCTTCTCCTTTTGTGCATGCCGCACCCTGGCTGATCCCGGCAGCCGAACACCTGACATTTCCCCTCGCTACTGAAAGCCATGCCCGTGTCTGCCTGGAGCGGAGCAGAGCCTGTGCTCCTGGTGGAGGCTAATTTAACCAGCTGGCTGTTGGTGGCCCCTGAAGAAGGCTTCCTCAGTACGGGATGGGGGGACGGGGGTGGGAGGGGTCTTCTGGGACCACCATACAGCGCCTGTCCTCAGAGAGATGGTAGTCACCTCTTGTGACCGGCTCTTTTGGTGAAGCTTCTGGCTGACACGGTCAGGGCCTGAGCCTCGATCGGCGTTTACCGTTGTTATTGGACCACAAGGGCTGGACAGGACAGGAAGAACATGCGGGACAGTGTTGGCTGCCCCAGAGCCCCCGTGAGGAGCCCCAGCCCAGCCCCCGCCTCCGCGGCAGCTCCTGGGGAAAGCCCAGGGAAAGGGTGAGTGAGCCAGCTCAGCAGTTCCCAAATGAGCCGAGTCCCCTCGACTGGCCTCCCTGGGCCTGTCCCCGGGCTCACCTGGATAATGAAGCCAGTGGAGGAACACTGCCTGACCCAGAGGCTGAATTTCCGCTTTTTCCTCTTTCGGAGTTCCCTCTCCGTGCACGTGGCAATGAACACAGGGTCCTCGTCAATCAGGGGTTCATGTAGCACCTGCCAGGAACGAAACAGCAGAGATGCTCACAGAAGGCAGCGTGAGCTCGGGGGTGGGGTCATCAGATCTGCGCTCAAATCGAGTCCCTGCCTTTGACCAGCTGTGTGACCTAAGTCACTTTACCTCTCTGATCCTGAGTCTCCTCATCAGTAACAGGGTAACACCTACATCAGTGTTTTGGGGAGGACAAAGCAAGAAACCATACGCAAGGGCCTGAGCATGGGCCCTGACATACAGCAGGTGTTTAGTAAATGGAAATTTAAAAAGTAATTTTATTTTTATTTTACGTATTTATAAAAGAATACATATTTAATGTATTATTTATATGTTTTAATGCATTTATAATTATCCTATTATGATTACAATAATAATTATCATTACCATTGCCCAAGGTCCCCAGTACAAACTCTCACTTGGTAGAGGGATCTCCAGGGGTCCTGACTTCTGGCTGGGCATGCCCACTTCTTTTGAGGAAAGCCCTTTCTGACGGACAGCTGCAACTGCTAAAAAGTCCTTCCCCTCACGGATTCAAAATCTACCTACATTTACTCTGACTTCGGCCCCTGTAAGAAACAAAGGAAAACACACACTATTTCTTTAGGTATTCAAGACCACTCTCACACTGGCCCGCAACCTCCTTTCTCCACCAGGGCTGAACAATGTCTCCTTAAAATCTGCCCTGCGATGAACCCAGTGCCCTGTGGCCTTGTCGCCACGACCCGGTCTCTGGCCTTCGTCCACACTGTCATGTCCTTCCAGACACGGGATTCCCAAGGCAATTTTTAAACTTATTTCACCTATTTCACTTTCTTTAAGGTAACGTGGTTGTAAGATGTTTTCAATGACAAGACTATAAAGTAAAAAGAAATAGCCTAACACAACCAGGCTCCACAGGGTGGTCAAAGTTTCGCTTCTTCAAGCTAAAGCTTTTCTGGGGAGACTTTTCGGTAAATTTAGGAATCTGCTGCACTTCTCCCCCTGGTCCTATTTCAAGCTTAATTATGAATTGGCATATGTGTCTGAATTTCATTGAAATGAAGAATATGGGAAATGATAGGGCTCCAAGAACCCTACCTGACGCCCTAGAGCAAACTATAGTAGAGCCCGGCTCACCGCCCTGTTGTAACTAAGAGTCTTATTGAGATCTGACATTATTGTCAACGGCCACCCCTGGACTACAACAGCAAATCGGACAAGATGCAGCAGAGACCATCTGGCCATTGACAGAAAAAGTGTTCTAACCCCTGCTCTCCACCAGGGCTTTTGGAACTTTAATGAACCAACCAGGCACCCGGGATCTCCCTGAAAGGCGAATTCTGATCCAGTCTGTTTGGGGCAGGGCCCGAGCTTCTGCATTTCCAACAAGCTCCCAGGTGATGTCAGAACACGCTCTGACAAGGGCGGACTGGAGGACAATCCTTAGCAACCTGTGATTTGGACACTAGCCTCCCATCCTTCCATTAGCACTCCCCTGAATTGCATTCAAAAAACAACAGACTCACAGTGTTCAGTCTGGGCCCCAGACTGTTCTGTTGTTGGAAGCATGCGGATATGAAGCCTAGCCTCCCCGTCGTATGCTCATGAAGGGAGGCCAGAGAAGCTGTCTGATCACAGTGCCTTGCTGACTCTGTGGGCTCATAAAACATTCAAAGCCCCATCTGGAACCACTGTAGAAAAATGGACAAGTCCCACACAGTGTGGGGACACTGAGCTGGGGGGGGCTGGCGATGGTAGAAAGAAGCCCTTTGGCTGCCTGCCTGTTCCCTGCTCAAGTCCCCCAGCTCAAGAAGCAGGTCCTACTCAGCCCCCTGTGAAGGACAGTACATAAAACTGCCCTTGCTCCCTCCTTCTTCTTCAGGAAGCCAACATGCCTCTAGTCCGTGCGTATTTATGCAGAATCAGCCGCACATTTATGTTTCATCACCTGCCTCACCAAAGCAAACTGCATGAAAGCGTTCCTGCCAGAAAACCACTCCCTTCTCCTCCAGGCTGCAGGCCGGCCCACAGCTCTGTTACCCAGCTGTGTTTCCTGAGTCCTCTTCTCCATATGACAAGCTCATTTTGGGGTGTGGTTATGGTAGAGGAAAGACAAAGCATCCATTTACCTACTTGCATAATCCCTTCCCGAAAATATTCTTCTAATGGATCTGCCCCCAGTTTTGAGGAAATGCGGTGTCTCCCCTGCATTTGCGTATAAACATGCACGTGGGCACACACAGGACACCAGGCCATGTGGGTTACTATTAGACTCTGAGAACCATCAGGTTTCTGAAGGTTCTGTGAAAGTTCTAAACTCATCCCAGAGGGTCACATTTGCTGGAACAGAAAGGCTCCGGAGATGGCAGGGCAGAGGGGGTGTGTGGTTTGCCTGGCAAGTGCACCGTGTGTTTCGAGGGTGGAATGTGTGTGAGGGTGCAGGATGGAGAGCGATGCCCGGGAGCCTGGAGCAGATCCAGCCACACATGATGGAGAACCGTGCCCACGGCCCGCGGCAGGCAGAGTGAAGACCCTTCACGGGGGCCCTGAGGCTCCGGCGTGGCAGATGGCCACTCTCAACTGAACGCACTGTTCAGTCCCCTTCTACTTGAATGAATGATCCAGAGTCTAATCAGGGGCTTTTCACAGAGGAGGAAAGGTGGAAAACCAGGAAACCTTTAGAATTTCCAGCTTCTCCCATCAAGGATCAGAACAGGAACCTTTTCTACGAGGCAGAAGCATCTTTGAGAAGAAGAGTAAGTGTAGGAACCAAGCACAATATGGCTGATGCTGGGGGCCGAAGGAAAGCGCCCCCACCCCAGGGCAAGCTCACAGGAGGCTACGGTCCAGTTCCACATAGAAAGGCTAGTGCTTTCCGGTGCGCACGGGGTCAAGCTGCTTATCTGCAAAGGAAGGGGTACAAGCACTTACAGGAACCCCTGGCTAACAGGAAGGCCTAATCATGTTCAAAATCAATCATACACTGCAGTTCATGAGTGCATCTCCTTTGGTTGACCCTGCTCCGGTCTGCTGATCCAGGGCTGGCCCAGCGGGGCCCACAGTCAGGAGGGAAATGGAAGAAGAGGAGAATTCTGTGTGATTATCAGCCAACTGGAAAACTGGTCCAAGGGATCTTTTACTTTCCTGCTGCCTCATGTCCCTGTCTGTGGGGTGGTATCCCGGGTATTCTTATTTGCCTGGGTAAGATGCACTTCCCACCCTTCCCACCCCACTGCGGCCTGGACGCCAACCTCTTACAAACATCACCACCCAGGCCCCTGGCCCAGTGTTGGACTTGCTTTGGCCAACTTGGAGGCAGGAGCAAGACATGGAAGAGGCCCCCCGCCTGCCTGCACCGTCACCTCCGTGTTCCTACACACACCCCCTCTCTCCCCAGCCCACGGCTGACCTGGGTTTCCCACTGTCGCTACCAGCCCAGTCAATGTCCCCCCAACCCTGACCCCACGGCCGTTCACGGTCCCCGCATCCAATCCTCTCCAACTGCCCATCTAGAACACAGGACTTGCTTCCTCCTGGGGTCCTGACCAACAGAGGGCACCGGATACAAATGGTAGCAAAAAGAAAACATAACTTCACAAATACAAAGGTAAAAATAAAAATGAAATACAAAGTCTACTAAAAAAAAAAAAGTAAAGAGGAAAAAAACCCCCAACATGATGAGGGAGCCCTTCCCCAAACTGAGACTTATCTTAGGACCTTCTCTCAGCCTCGTCAACTGGATGCAAAAAGACGTGGGGTAAGAATAAAGAAAGTGTGTCTCCAGGCTCTTGGTGGTCCTCGCTGCACATCTGAGCCATAAAAGGGAGGAGGGCAGAACTGCCCATGCGCGCTGCAGTCCAGCCACTGCTGGCTCGGGAAGGTGCTGGGCCCCCTCGGGGCACCCATGCCCAAGCTGGGAAGGGACAGGCTCACAATCTCAGATTTTGCTAGCAGGCACTGCCTTGTGCCCACAGGCTACCCCAGGCTCCAGACACACACATGCATGGTGATCAGCCTGGGTATGGGTCTCAGGTATCTGACACCACAGTTTCTGAAGGCAGGCAGCACAAGGCCAGCTCACCACACCACAAACAGGAGTATAACCTGGATACGCCTGGCCTAGTCGAGAGGCTAGAAGATCCTCAGCAACCTCATCTTTACGCTGTTAAGTATCAATCATCCAAGCAGCTGGTTGTTTGATTCTTAAGAGATACTCAGCCGGAGCGAGCCCACAGCCTCTTCCAGGAACTGTTCAAAGGTCTGGCCCCGAGGATGGTCAGAATACTGTTCTTTTCCCCTTGCATCCAGCCGGCAGGGCTCTGATTTGGTTCATTGTCAACCAAGCAAATATTCAGTGAAACAAAAAAATAACGTGCCCGGCCCTGTATTTGGTCCTGCGGGGGCCTGTGTAAGGCAGGGCTTGTGTCCCGAAAAGAGCCCACCTCCTGTTTGGAAGGTAAGAGACACAACTGGGGACAAGGAAGGATGGGAGTCAGCTGCCCTATAAACAGTGGGGGAATTCAGGAAAGCGGGACCAGCATGAGAATGCGGGCCTCGCACTGGGCCCTGGGGACTGGGTACATCTGCTAAGGCAGAGAGAAGAGAGAAAAGCTTCCGGTAGTCAGAAAGAGCATCCACCTGCAAATCGTAATGAGCCCAGCATATTCACAGAACAGCACAGGGGGACGCTTCCAAAGATTGTTGAAAGGCTCCCACAGCCCTGAAATAGGGCGCTATCTTCCCCCACAGAAATCCTGTGATTTTTAGCTGTGCAGGGAAAAAGGCAAGACACAGAGTCAGGGGAAGGGAGAACATCAAAAAGAATGTGAGGGTTATGAAGAAGGCCCTTAGAGGAAGAGTAGGCGGGCCGATGGCTCTTCAAATGTACAAATAAAAATGATGTCGACTTTTGTTTCCACACTGAACGGGTCAAATGGAATTGGGCTCCAGTGGGCCAAAAACTTCCTCAGGTTTTAGTTAGAGGCATCCCAGAAATAAGCCACCTCTTGAGTTTGCTAGACCAGTAGAGAGCAGTTTTGAGGACAGTTCTGAACCTCGTATCTCCCCGCAGCCAAGGGTACTAGCCACCTGTCAACACCAGAAGGCAGGGTCTCAGGAGCTGAGAGCAAACAGAGCCTTCTAGAACCAGGGAGGGGAGCTGGGAAGGGGGCCATAACAGCTAGGTGGGGGGCTCTAACAAACCGTGGTCCAAAAGCCCCGCCTGTGCCACGTGGACCCCAGGACCTGAGTGACTGCCAGTTACCTGAAGAGTGGGTTGAGATTCTGGCCTCCTTCCCTTAGGCACCTGCAATGCTTCAGCCCGTCACCACCAACAGGGGACTACATACTCATAGAACACAGGAAAGTTACTATTAGAGGTTCTTCATAGAAGAAAATTCACCTTAGCCTGGAAAACATATCATCTGGAAAGCCAGCGCCACTAAGGGGAGGGAGGATGCAGGCAAGGAGGAGGGAAACTGGGTCAGAGCAGAACCCCGCTTTCTGACTTCTCTGTGGCGGGGAGCTGTGAGTCTGGGGTGGGGCAGGAGAAGAGCAGGAGCGCCCTCCAGGTGAGGGTTGCCATGGGGGTGGGGGGCCCAGGGGCAGGGGGCCCGGGGCACCCGCACACGGGCCTCACCTGGGTTTGGGAAGGCCTGAAGGCAGAGTCGAAGCCGTTCTGCAGGGAGTCGAGGAAGGGCTGGACCTTGTAGAGGCCGTGCGTGGTCTGGCTGGAGCGGAAGGCCACCACGTGGAAGTACTTGAGGATCTTCTCGAAGCGGGCCTGGCTCATGACAAGGGCGAGGCTCCGGTTGCTGTAGAAGCCTCCGCTCCAGATGCTGAGGACCGACTCGCAGTGGGAGATGCTGGTGGAGATCATGTAGCCCAGGAACGCCTTCATCTCTGTCAGCGTCACCTCGGCCCAGGCGCCGTCGCTGCCAAAGCGCTCCTGGAACTTCTTGGCATACATGTTTGTCTGCACCACCATGTTCTTGAGCACGTTGTCTGGGACGAAGAGCTGGAAGAAGTCCATGGCGCTGGCGCCGGGGGGCATCTTTCGGGTTGGACCTAAAACAGATGTGGGCGGGGGTGGTTCATGGCGACAAGCAGGGCAAGCAGCCGGGGCGGGCGCTGGGGGCTCCGCGGGGTGCACCTCCCCCTGCGAGCCAGGGTCCCGGGGTCCCCCTCCCCCCACCGCGCACCCCGCGCTCTCGCCCGGCCCACACAGACACCACTCCGCAGGGAAAGGGACGCGCGAGGGGCGGAAAGGCACTGACGCAAACACACACCAATCCAGCCCAGGAGCCTGGCCGTGGCTTTCAAGCTTAAACTTTCTTGTAAGGCAAGGTGACTTCTCTAAGGAGGCTTTCACCCCTTAGGGCCTGAAATGCCCACCCAGGTGAGGCTGCCATCTTTCTGTCCTGGAACTGGACACATGGCAACTTGAAATTTATTGCTGAATCAATCTGAAGGGGCTCCTTTAGATAATTTCACCAATGTAATAAAAACCTCACAATTCTTGACTAATGCAGGGACAGCCATTTGAAATACACACACACACACACACACACACACACACACACACACACCCTTAAGAGATACGGCTTTCAATTCCATATAGTGACTTGAGCCAGGCTAACAGTATGGAGGGATTTGTAAGAGACAAGTGTTTTTTTTTATTTTTTGTTTTAAATCTCTTTTACGTAATCTCTATACCCAACCTGGGGCTCGAACTCATGACCCGAGACCCAGAGTCACATGCTCCACCGACTGAGCCAGCCAGATAACCCTTCAGGAGACAAACTTTGCAATTTCTAATAAAAGCTATGCGCGTTCTTCAGAACTTTAACCATCCCCCACTCCCAACCTTTTTCTACTACTGATTTAGGCACTCTGAAAAACAAGTTTTTCACAGCAAAATAAGAGAATGACAAGGCAGTCCAGGTTTTAGATGGGATAGAGTCGGGAACCAAAACCCTGAATTTACTCGTAGCTAACTGCACAGTCTTAGATAAATACTTCATCTGCCCCACGTAGAAAATGGAACACCTGCTTTCCAAGGTTGTTTTGGAAACTTGGAAACCTTTACTGACACATTAGCAACAGAAATCCTGTGACTTGGGCTGAGGGCTTTCGAATGCTCTAACTGCCCTCATTTTATAGAAGAAAAAACTGAGGCCCAGAGAACCAAGTGGTCACCATATTCACGGTCACCAACAATTTTTTGGAAGAGCATTGCTCTTGGCCGAGAGCTGCCGTGACACTGAGGCCAGGATCTAGAGGGGCCCCGGGTAGCAAGAACAGCCTGCAGCCCCACACCCACTCTTAGTGGAAATCATTGTATTTCAGCGAAGACTTACAGCCTCCGATGGGTGAAGCCATAAATTATTCAGGGATGGCTCTCAAAGAGGAGGAAAACCAGCATTTTAATTGCTCCATCATGCTGAGTAAGCAGAATGAAATTTTCTCTTCCAAAAGTTATCTTTAAAGTAATTCTGCCTCCCAGGCTATTTCAAAATCAATTCTCACAGCAAACTCTGCCCTGGCCAACTGGTTCAGGAAGCAACTGGGAAGTAGCCGGCTCCCGCTTATCTGTTCAGTTTGGATTTACAAGCATCCTCCACGGTCCCCTTCGGCTGTTGTGATGCTTCATATTTGAGAAATGTTGGCATAGGCCAGTCACTGGGAAGGAAGGAGCCGGGGGGAGAAAATGCCATTCAGGAGATTCAATCTGTAGCACCAACTTTGTAATATGACCATTTAATAATACGGCCCTGGGGGTGGACAGCACCCCCAGCCAAGATAAGCCTCTCTTACATTTGATTCATTTATAGGAGCTTTTCCAGATATTACCCCATGTGATCCTCACAACATCCACGTGAAGCATCATCCCCTTCTGCAAGTGAGGAACTAGAAGCTCAGAAGTATAGGGACACAGCCCCAGGTCACTCACATCTAAGTGCCTTACAGTTACGGTGACCTTCATCCCACCTGGCCCAGAGCCAGTCCAAGAGCACCTGCTGCCTGTTGTAATTATTTAATAGTGTCCCTTCTGCTCTCACGAGCAGACAAGGAGGCATGTGGCTGTATATACACTGTGCACAGTGTATATACACAACTTAAGCCACCAAGTCTTCAAACCCCACCAGCTCCCTCCACCTCTGCCGTGCACACATTTCACAGTGGGTGATGTAGGGTTACAGTGCACAGCCAGAAGAAACTCTGAAGGGATAGGGAGGAGCTGCATTGTAAAAAATGCAAAGGCAGCACGGGACCAGGGGTGGGCATGGGGGGCAGGCTGGTAGGGAGGACCCAGAGGAGGAAAAGCAGTGCCCTTGGTGTCTGGCCTGGGGATACAGGGCTCTGCATGTTGATGGTGTCGATGATGCATTGCCAGGTCATAAATTCATATGATCGTCTCCCTCCTCTCCCCCCGTTCACCCCCCTCCCCACCCCACCATGTCACCCCTCAAGGCCCCATCACCAACACCCATTTGGTTCCCTCAGCCTACAGGGGATCCCCTGCCCCCTCAATCCCAGGATGTCACAGCAGGCCCACAGACCCGGGGTAGCGTTAAGAATGGTTCAGTAAGGGGCAACTGGGTGGCTCAGTTGGCTGAGCATCCGGCTCGTGGTTTTGGCTCAGGCCATGATCTCAGAGCGGTGGGATGGAACCCCGAGTCGGTCTCTGTGCTCAGTGAAGAGTCTGCTTGCAATTCTCTCTCTCCCTCTGCCCTTCCTCCCCACCTCCCCCTTTCTTGTTAAAATAAATAAATAAATCTTTAAAAAAAAGAAAGAAAGAAAGAATTGGTTCACTAACACTCAGATCCTGCAGAGATTCCTCCCACCACCCCAAGCTAGGAACCGACCCCTCTTCTCGGGAGTGACTACAAACGCAGGTGACCTGTGTAGAAAGGGGACTGTAACACAAGGGCAGCTGTCAGTGAACACCTGAGTGTCATACTGATCCTGGGAACAGAAAGGGGTAAGAGCCGATATTTTCTTCCCGGGAGTCCTCGGTGTAAAGACGGGAGCAGGCAGCAGGCAGTGACCCAGGGATGTCGGGTGGGGGGATGGGGGAGGGTGCCCACAAGAGGGACCTGAGTTCAGATCCTGGGGAGGTGGGGTCTGAGAGGCTCCCTGGAAGAGCCACACAGTTGGCTGCAAAGTCATCAGCCCCCCATGTGGTAGGGGCAGGGAGGCTACAGACTATCTCAGGCAGTGAGGACCTCTCCTGCAAAGGCCCCGTGACCAGAGCAAATGCCCCGCGTTTAGCAGACTGTGCAAGGGAGAAGCCTGGCTGCAGACACGGAGGGGCACAGGGCCGCCCCCCTCCCCCTGCCATGGAGCGTGCAGGGCTGTGAGCGCCGGCGGTCACGCTCATGCTGTAGGAGGAACCGCTCACTGCTGCGTGCGCCATGTGGGGAGGGCCTGGACTGTTCCTGCAGCCAGTGAGCTCAGGCAGGGTCCTAACTGAGGGGCGACCACAGCAGCTCCCTCACCTCTGTAAGTGTGATGGGCAGGGGAACAGACCACAGGTGAGCCGCGGTCCTGCAGGTGACCCGAACCCTGGGGCCAGGGCCTCCACCGGCCGGCGACCCTCATCAATGTATCCTTTCCATTTGCACCAGGACAAGAACTAGGCTGGTATCTTAAACCACACGTGTCCACACTGCAACTCCAGATGCCTCACTGTCCTCTCCCTTTCTGCTGCTCCCCACCAGCCCCCGCCAGTGACTTCAGCCAGAAACCTGACCCACCGTGGGTCCCTCTCCTCGCCGCACCCCCACATCCAGCCCCTCAGCACGTCCTGCCACCTCCACCTCTACAGTGTGTCACCAACCACCCACTGTAGTGCTCTGGCCCAGAAGACAAACACGACCTCTCCCAAATGAGTCATAGCAATGAGAAATTTTTTTTTTTTAAAGAATATAAACCAGATCACAATGCTCCCCTGCTTAATTAAAAACACTCCTGTGACTTCCCACTGTGCTTAAAAAAGCAAACGCACATTCCTTATCAAGGGCTCAGGGCCCTGCCTCCCAGGCCACTCTCCAAGGCCAGGCAAGCAGAAGGTGTGCAGCCAGAGCTGGGGGCAGGCCCGGGCCCTGGCAAGACCCCTCCACCCCAGGGCCTGCATCCACGCAGACCCATCTGCGGGACACAAGCCCTCCTGGGGCTCTGGCTTCCTCAAGTGATGAAGCCCACCCAACCACAAGCAGACACCCCTGCCGGTCCTGTCAATCTCCATCCCAAGAGGGCTTCCTTCCTCGCATTTATCACAGTCTAGGATTGTTTCACCAAGGACTTACATACTTGTCTGGGTCTGCCTCTGCTGTCCCACCCTCTGGCCCAGCTGAAGTGGGATGGCCAAGGTAAAGGCTGTTGTGCTGCCCCCAGCCCAGCTCACGGTAGGTTGGACACACCCACTGACAAGGTGGGTAGAGAGCGGGGGGGTGGGGAGGGCAGACACCCTGGCCCATTCAGGAGGAAGGGCCTCTTTGCTGAGCCCCATGGGAAGGATCTGGTTCCTGGGACAGAAGCCCATGTTAATGCCTGGTAAAAAGAACAGCTAGAAACATCTGTATTGAAGAGGAAGCGGACAGCGCCGGGGTGGGTGAGGCTGGAAGGAGTACAATACAGTGAGGCAGGGCTCACCTCCGCTAGCTGGGCAGGAAGCTGGTGCACCTGCCCACACCTCCCTGCGGACACACGTGAGGTCTAGGGAGCCAGGAAGGGGCAGCGTGCTAAGTCCTGGGGAGGGAGACCACCTGGGAATTGGGAACAGATGATCAGTGGGCAGGACATGGGAGGGGGAGCATCACAGATGACTTCCAGGTCCCCAACTCAGGTGGCTGGCTCTGGGTCTTGTTTTGTTCGGTTTCCTGAACTAGTGGAAACCACGTCGGAACTCCTTCTGGCCCTCCCTCTCTGTCTACAGCTGCTGGTTATGTGACCTTGGGCAGGCCACACAACCTCTCTGCACCTTGGTTTGTTCACCCATCGAATGGGAGTATAAGAAGCAGCCTGGAGTGAGTGAAAGCTGCAGGACCTCGAACACAGGCCAT